ATATCAAAGAACCCTAAGAATTCAATTTCTGTTAAAATCAAACTAAGTTTAATTTTGGACCCTTTGGACCTTAATGTAGACCAATTTGAAAACGGAACCAAAAATTAAGAATCTAAATACACGGTTAGATTTGGCATATCAAAGAACCCCAATAATTCAATTTTTGATGAAATCAAACAAAGTTTAATTTTGGACCCTTTGGACCTCAATGTGGACCAATTTAAAAACGGGGCCCAAAATCCAAAAACTAAATACACGGTTAGATTCAGCATATTAAAGAACCCCAGGAATTCAAGAATAAAACCCCATTGAAATTGGTCAAGAAATAAGCAATTTATAAGAAGTATCTTCTTTTGCACAATACTGTGCAATTAAATATTTCTTGCTATTGCGCAATACTGTACAATTGACAATTTCTTGCTATTGCGCAATTTTGTGCTATTGGATATTTCTTGCTATTGCGCAATACTGTGCAATTGAAGATTTCTTGCTATTGCGCAATTTTGTGCTATTGGATATTTCTTGCTATTGCGCAATACTGTGCAATTGAAAATTTCTTGCTATTGCACAATACTTATTATATAATAATTTACACATCCTGTTTGATGTGTATCTCCTACCATATCATTATAATTTGCTTTTAAATATAAATCAGAAATAACCAACTTAAAATGGAAAATTTTAAAAGAAAAAAAAAGGAAAAAAAGAAAAAAAAGGAAAAAAAAAAAAAATCCCCCCCCCCAAATGTTTTGAACCCCCTTATGATTTATCACCCCCAAACTCAATCCCAGCCTTCCCTTTGTGGTATGGTACCTTGCAGTACAATTTCAGAGAGATCCATACACTTGAACACAAGTTATTGTCTGGAAACTAGAAAAATGTGTTTTTTGGCCCCTTTTTGGCCCCAAATTCCTAAACAATTAGGGCAATTACCCCCAAACTCAAACCCAGCTTTCCCTTTGTGATATGGAACCTTGTAGTACAATATCAGAAAGATCCATACACTTACACACAAGTTATTGTCCTTAAACTAGAAAAATGATTGTTTTTTGCCCCTTTTTGGCCCCTAATTCCTAAAATATTGAGGCAATTACCCCCATCATCAATCCCAGCCTTCCCTTTGTGGTATGGTACCTTGCAGTACAATTTCAGAGAGATCCATGCACTTGAACACAAGTTATTGTCTGGAAACTAGAAAAATGCTTATTTTTGGCCCCTTTTTGGCCCCCAATTCCTAAACGTTGTGGGCAATTACCCCCAAACTCAATTCCAGCTTTTCCTTTGTGATATGGAACCTTGTAGTACAATTTCAGAAAGATCCATGCACTTACACACAAGTTATTGTCATGAAACTAGAAAAATGCTTGTTTTTTTGCCCCTTTTTTGGCCCCTAATTCCTAATATTTTGAGGCAATTACCCCCAAAATCAATCCCAGCATTCCTTTTGTGATATGGAACCTTGTGGTACAATGTCAGAGAGATCCATACACTAACACACAAGTTATGTCTGGAAGTTACAAAAATGCTTATTTTTGGCCCCTTTTTGGCCCCTAATTCCTTTACTGTTGGTACCATAACCCCCAAAATCAATCCCAACCTTCCATTTGTGGTATTGAACCTTGTGGTAAAATTTCATAGAGATCCATTCACTTAAACTAAAGTTAGAGTGCGAAAACCAATGTGTCTTCGGACGACGCCGGACGACGCCAGACGACGACGACGACGACGACGCCAACGTCATACCAATATACGACCACAAAAATTTTTTTGCGGTCGTATAAAAACACAGACCAAGTGAGTCAGACAAAAACTGTATTTTGATCATAAACAAGCTTCTGTCAAAATTTCATGAAATTCCATGAAAGTTTGGCAGAGTTACTGATGACTGAAAAACTTTCACAGACTGAACATAAATATTGACGCTGCAGACAGAATCTAGGATCACTATGTCTCACTTTCATGACATAAATGTTGTAGGATCGACAATAAAAGCAATAGACACAAAGCACTGTCATTTTCTCTCAGACTAAAGTATTGTTCACAACACATCCAACCAATTTAGTGTAAATACAGCATAATCAATCTGAGAAACACATGAACTTGTGCCATGCCAAAATATAGGTAAACAGTATGGACAGGATGTAGGATCATGAGTTCTCATTACTATACATGTATAGCAATACATGTATATATTTAGATTTATTCTATTTTTTTTTTAAACAAAATCAATGTTAGTACCAATAAAAGTAATATCTAAGATTCTACTACTGTGTTGAAATTGATTTAACCATGACGAATAAGTTTATTCAAAGGATCAGTTAGTTTACATTGATTGAATCTAAATTTACTGGCTTTATAAACATATCACCAATATAATAAGGATGTGATATTCCATTTTTAATAAGAACTCTACAGGTAAAGTCAAACTTCCAAACAAAATCTTTGTATCTATTTAAGAATTTAGTAAACTTAGCTATTACTTAATTTGTAGTAACCAAATCCCTGAATTATAATTTACCACTTTTACATACATTTGTAAATAATTACTTTTATTGAAATCTAAAACACAACTACAGATATGGGCATAGCAAACAAGTTGTGAAATTGCAACGTAAGAATGAGCCAAAGGAACATCATTGTCCAAAATCAGAAAAATTAACAATCAGGACAAAAAATTGTCTTTTGTTGTAAATTTGTATAGAGTTAATTTCCTGTGTGAAACTGAGATATCAACATCTAGAAAAGGACAATTATTGCTGTCTATATCAGATTTATTTCAAGTGAGTTCCCTCAGAGACATACATTTTTGTACATATACTACAGAGAACATGTCTCTGGTTCCCTTGGGTAAATTTCTAGAGTAAAATTAGAAAATTCTTGCTTATTCAAAGCAAAAATATCATCAAGGTAAAGGTATGTGTCTTAAAAATTATCAACTAACTGTACATTTAGATGGATCTTTGCTGAGTTTTGACATAAACAGTGATTAACAACAATACAGGAACAAATGGAGTTCATGGGAATACCTACAACCTGTTGACAAATTTTATTGCCGAAACATCAAATTGAGAATGGAAATGGGGAATGTGTCAAAGAGACAACAACCTGACCATAGAACAGACATAGATGTTACATGTTTATAGCATGTTTCCCTTTTTTGGCACCCGCATTCTCCACTGACCACTGATATAATCCATTTTGGGAATCGTGTCCAGGTGTCTGAGCGCTAATTTTTCAAATTATATTTGGCCACCCAAATCAGACAAAGGCTCCGAACACATAATCTCAATAGGGATTAACCTCTGACACAGTACCTTAACTTCCATCAAAACCTTGTGTTTGCGTGAATCCCTGAGAGTTCATGCATATTAATTAGTTAGAAATATAGTCTAAGGAGGAATATTTAGAACCCTAATTATTGTTCATTCGGAAAACTTATATTTCTTATCTGTATTAGCTTCCTGCAATTAAGAGCACCTCCATACGGATCATTTAAGATATCTAAAACTTGACAATAAAGAACTTTACACAGATCGCTTAACCTCACTTATATGCTATATGGTAATACAAGATATAGTTGATAATCTATATAGAAAAAAATAGAAATAGATTCCCAAACGTATAATTCTTAAAGAATAATAATGATTCAAAACATGGACACATGTACCTCAGTCTTTCAAAAATTCATTAAATTAATCTAGAAATAATAAATGAGGCATTGAGTAATGGTCAACTAGTAGGAGACATTAATTAATGTTCCTTACAACTGATCTTCAATAAGTGTAACTCTACTACGAGACGCATTGAGATATTAAATGATCTAATATAAAACCATTTTTGTAGAGGCATAACTTTTAAATTCAAGATACAAAAGATTTCATTAATAAAACACACGAGGTAAAAAGGGAATGCATTCGTATTGCCTATGATGAAACGTAAATGTACACAAATATGATCATTGCATGATGATTTAAAAGAAACAGTTATCAATGCAGAAGAATTAATTGACACAAAAGAATATCCTTTAAAGATTCTCAACAACAAAAAAAACTGCATTTGTTAAATTAATTCTAAGAAACAATAAATTTGAGTTTAATGGAAAGTTATAGGAGCGCCCCCTCCATAGGTGGTATATTTTCACCATCATGCACATATCTGCATCTGTCTGTCCTATTAATAAATATCTTAGATTATAAGTTCAAATGGAAAGAAAACATCAAATTACACTGTAAATATAGAGATGACGGTTTTATGGTCTTCACATGCAAAATAGAGCAAGTAGAAGATTTCTTTAACATAGCAAACAAAATTTCCCCTATACTTAAGTTCACATATGAGGTAGTAGTTGGGAGACTTTTGAAAAGGGACCATGCTTAAAAGGTTAACTTTAAGCAAAAAATCCCAAAACACTGTTACATTTCTGAATTATAGGCAACAAACATAAGTAAGAAAAAAACAGTGTAGAGTTTTGAGATTTATTACGTATGTTGATTTAAGGAACCGCATTTCATAATAATTCGAATTATCCTGCGACTGATATGATTACATAATATTTGGTAAACCATGATTGCCAATGAGAGAACTTTTTAATAAACATGGCGTTGAATGTTGAGTCTTATCAAAGGGAGCTAAATGACATCAAATTGACCAGTGTTGTATGAGATATAAATCAATGGCCATATTTTTATACAAAAAAAACCTAAAAACAGACACGATAATACATGTAAGCAAACAAAAAAACTTAAGCTCCGGATTTGGACAGGTATATTAAGTATACATGTATAAGCAGCAAATTGAATGTATTAGCTGGATCCAAACCCATATAAGGTGGAATGGGATTTTACGGCACAAAATAAAATGGTAAGCAGGTAGATTTTGTCTTATTTGGTAGGAATAAAACTTTCACATTTTACGAAACAAAATATCGTTCTTGCTCTGAAATATGTATTTTAAAAAGAAAACTATATAAAATTACTGAGGGATTCTAGTTGAAATATTACCTCTACCAATAAACACCCTAGAAGTGTCATCCATTGCCATTGGCAGTAGTTTGACCTTTCACACTGGTAAATATGAAAGCTAACACCATCCAGAAATGAACTATTGAAATTAAAACATTCCTTATCTCCCTACTTTATATTTAACACCACTCTCAACATGCCATAATTGTCCTGATTTACAATAGGCCTAAAAAGAAAATATTATCCTCCACACACATCACTGCACATGGTAATGAAAATACTGAGATATAATTTACAATTCAGTTGAAATAATAATTAGCATAAAAAAAGTTCTAAAGTTCACGTATTGACTTTTTTTTTTAAAAAGCAACTTGTTTCATTACTTTTGTGAGTATCGTTATTTCTTAACCGTCTCACCTGATTAGAAGGGCATCTATGAAATGGGAAGAGAAAGCAAAACTATTATGCTGGGAAAATTTGATTCGAAACACTCTGGAAATTTCCATACTAATGGGGAAAATATCGAAGTTTGATAAGCAGCTGATTAGGCCTAAACCACAATTAATTTCCCCTATTTATTCTTTATAACGTTTTGTCACATTTAAAAATTCCACCAGGGGTTTCTGATAAATCTTTGGTGTGTGCAATGTTCAGTTCAAGTCCCAAAATTTATCCAAAATGACACTGACCCAGTTGAAAAATAAGCCAATACATAACCCAACTGGTATGGACAAGTCAAGAGATATTCCGAAAACTGTAACTATTAACTTTTTTGCACCTGACCTTGGTACTCCTTCCACCTGCTGGACAGTTAAAATAAAACATCCAAAATCCATCTCAACTCTTTTCTTTCATTTCCACCCCATAAAAACTAATTGATGATTTTTACCAATTTTAGCGTTTTTCCTTTTAATTCAAAAACTATAAAAGATAAAATAAATGGGGAATGTGTCCATAGGGACTCAGATGATGTCCCCGCTAGCAATCAAGGAAGACTCTACGTATCACTAGCCTAGGGTAGTATGAATATTCATGAGTTGTATGAAGCAACGCGGGATACGAGATCACGTCATTGGCGCGATTATCTAATTTCACAGACCTGTCAGCAAGCGGAAAACAGAAATATGTTCAGAAGTTCTTAGATATTTCCCAAGATGTAGGGCATATATCACTGGAACAGAGACGATACCAAAATAAGTATTTTGAATACTGAATCAGCTTTAGATATTGTGTACAAACACGGCATCTAGGCACTCAAAAGACGATTATTAAAAGGGGGGGTTACACGCAACGAATGCATACGAGGGCTGCCCTATGTGTTACATATGAAAACATACAGAAGAGCTATATTAAACCAGCGACAGTAACAGATCCAAATTTTCATTTAGAGGGGGGGGGGGGGGGGGGGGGGGGGGGGGGGGCTGCTCCAGTCCATGGCATAGGGACTTCAGTCTTGACTACAGGTCAATTATATGTAATATATTATAGCGCTTCAATCGTCTACATACATTTAAAAAAAAACGTATGCCCCTACTGTAGTCATATCACTAGCCTAGGGTAATAGTCAATTATCTGGAATGACCAGTTAACAAAGTCATATCACTAGCCTAGGGTAGTGGTCAATTATCAGGAGTGATCAGTTTACAAAGTCATATCACTAGCTAAGGGTAGTGGTCAATTATCTGGAATGGCCAGTTTACACAGTCATATACTAGCCTAGGGTAGTGGTCAATTATCTGGAATGACCAGCTAACAAAGTCATATCACTAGCCTAGGGTAGTAGTCAATTATCTGGAATGACCAGTTAACAAAGTCATATCACTAGCCTAGGGTAGTGGTCAATTATCTGGAATGACCAGTTAACAAAGTTATATCACTAGCCTAGGGTAGGAGTCAATTATCTGGAATGACCAGTTAACAAAGCCATATCACTAGCCTAGGGTAGTGGTCAATTATCTTGAATGATCAGTTAACAAATTCATACCACTAGCCTAGGGTAGTGGTCAATTATCTTGAATGACCAGTTAACAAAGCCATATCACTAGCCTAGGGTAGTGGTCAATTATAAGGAGTGATCAGTTTACAAAGTCATATCACTAGCCTAGGGTAGTGGTCAATTATCTGGAATGACCAGTTAACAAAGTCATATCACTAGCCTAGGGTAGTGGTCAATTATCTGGAATGACCAGTTAACAAAGTCATATCACTAGCCTAGGGTAGTAGTCAATTATCTTGAATGACCAGTTAACAAAGCCATATCACTAGCCTAGGGTAGTGGTCAATTATCAGGAGTGATCAGTTCACAAAGTCATATCACTAGCCTAGGGTAGTGGTCACTTGTCAGCTAGCATATGGTAGTTGTCAGTAACGTGTCATATCACTAGCCTAGGGTAGAAGTCAATTATCAAGAATGATCAGTTCACAAAGTCATATCAGGGGCAGACCAAGATACACGTGGAGAAGGAATGTTGCAGCAGAGATGGAGAAAGAAGGGTACAAGTGGCATGATCTGGAGAGGCTAGCAAAAACAGAACAAGGTGGAGAAATATCGTTAGTGGCCTTTGCTCCACCAAGGGGCAACAGGATTAAGCAAGGGTAGTGGTCACTTATCAGCTAGCATACGGTAGTTGTCAGTTATGTGTCATATCACTAGCCAGAGGAAGTTGTCAATTATGTTTTATATCACTAGCCCAGGGTAGTTGTCAGTTATGTGTCATATCACTAGCCAGAGGAAGTTGTCAATTATGTTTTATATCACTAGCCCAGGGTAGTTGTCAGTTATGTGTCATATCACTAGCCTATGGAAGTTGTAAGTTATGTGTCATATCACTAGCCTAGAGTAGTTGTCAGTAATGTGACATATCATTAGCCTACGGTAGTTTTCAGTAACGTGTCATATCATCAGCCAACGGTTATTGTCAGTAGTGTCTCATATCACCAGCCTAGGGTAGTTTTCAGGAATGTCTTATATCACTAGCATAGAGTAGTTGTCATTTGTGCCTCATATCACTACCCTATTGTAGTTGTCAGTATTTGTCATATCACTAGCATAGGAAAGTTATCAGTTATATGTCATATCACTAGCATACAATAGTTTTCAGTAACATGTCATATCATCAGCCTACTGACAACTACCCTAGGCTAGTGATATGACACATTAATGACGACTTCCCTAGGTTAGTGATATGAGACATTACTGACAACCACCCTAGGCTAGTGATATGACACATTTATGACAACCACCTTAAGTTAGTGATATGAGACACTAATGACAACTACCGTACACTAGGCTAGTGATATGAGACATTAATGACAACTACCACAGGCTAGTGATATGAGACATTAATGACAACTACCTTAGGAGATGAAATGATACGTTACTGACAACTACAAAAAGCTAGTGATATGACACATAACTGACAACTACCCTAGGATGGTGATATCACATATAACTGACAACTACCCAAGGGTAGTGATATGACACATAACTGAAAACTCTAGGCTAGTCAATGATATGACAAATAACTGACAACTTCCCTAGGCTAGTGATATAACACATCACTGACAACTACCATAAGCTAGTGATTACAAAATACTGACAACTACCCTAGGCTAGTGATATAACTTTGTTGTTTTATAATGACAAATAACAGACAACTACCATAGGATAAAGATTATATGACACACTACTGACAACTACTCTAGAGTAGTGATATGACAAATTACTGACAACTCCCCTAGGCTAGTGATATGACACATTACTGACAACTACCTTAGGCTAGTGATATATCTGTTGTTTTATAATGACTCGTAACTAAAAACTACCCTGAGCTAGTGATATAACACATAACTGACAACTAGCCTAGGCTAGTGATATAACTTTGTTGTTTTATGACACATAGCTGACAACTTTCGTAGGTTAGTGATATGACGCATAACTGACAACTACCATATGCTAGTGATATAACACATAACTGACAACCATTCAAGGCTATTGATATGACACATAACTATACTAGTGGTATGGCTTTGTTAACTGGTCATTCAAGATAATTGACTATTACCCTAGGCTAGTGGTATGACTTTGTTAACTGGTCATTCCAGATAATTGACCACTACCCTAGGCTAATGATATGACTTTGTAAACTGATCACTCCTGATAATTGACCACTACCCTAGGCTCGTGATATGGCTTTGTTAACTGGTCATTCAAGATAATTGGCTACTACCCTTGGCTAGTGATATGACTTTGTTAACTGGTCATTCCAGATAATTGACTATTACCCTAGGCTAGTGATATGACTTTGTTAACTGGTCATTCCAGATAATTGACTACTACCCAAGGCTAGTGATATGACTTTGTAAACTGATCACTCCTTATAATTGACCACTACCCTAGGCTAGTGATATGACTTTGTTAACTGGTCATTCCAGATAATTGACTACTACCCTAGGCTAGTGATATGACTTTATTAACTGGTCATTCCAGATAAATGACCACTACCCTAGGCTAGTATATGACTTTGTTAACTGGTCATTCCAGATAATTGACTACTACCCTAGGCTAGTGATATGACTTTATTAACTGGTCATTCCAGATAAATGACCACTACCCTAGGCTAGTATATGACTTTGTAAACTGGTCATTCCAGATAATTGACCACTACTCTAGACTAGTGATATGACTTTGTAAACTGATCACTCCTGATAATTGGCCACTACCCTAGGCTAGTGATATGGCTTTGTTAACTGGTCATTCAAGATAATTGACCACTACCCTAGGCTAGTGATATGGCTTTGTTAACTGGTCATTCCAGATAATTGACTATTACCCTAGGCTGGTGATATGTCTCTGTTAACTGATCACTCCTAAAAATTGACCACTACCCTAGGCTAGTGATATGTCTCTGTCAACTGATCACTCCTAATAATTGACCACTACCCTAGGCTAGTGATGTGACTTTGTTAACTGATCACTCCTGATAATTAACCACTACTCTAGGCTAGTGATATGGATTTGTTTACTTAACTGATCTGATAAATGACCACTACCCTATACTAGTGGTATGGCTTTGTTAACTGGTCATTCAAGATAATTGACTACTGCCCTAGGCTAGTGATATGACTTTGTTAACTGGTCATTCAAGATAATTGACTACTACCTTAGGCTAGTGATATGACTTTGTTAACTGGTCATTCCAGATAACTGACGACTACCCTAGGCTATTGATAGGACTGTTGACTGATC